TCGGCGGGTTCATTGATATGTATGTCATTGCATCTCGGGTTGGCTCTGTTTGGTTGAGTGGTATCAAAGGCGTTGTCATTGCTAAGGCTCCCAACGTTTCTAACCGGCTGTAAGGGAGCTCGTGGTGCTTGCTCCACATAAGTGAGGCGTTCTCCCATCTCTGGTCTAAAAGCTCGAAATTCTTTTGGGTCTTGTGCATTGCTTGATTCTTCCCCCATGTTTTCTGTGAATCAAAGGAAATAAATGAATGTAGGTCGAATGATATAGTATATGACCGGTTTAATGGAAATAATATGACTAGTGACAAGAATGGAAAGTGATTACACGCTTTCTATACTTGAAATAGATCGGGAAACAAACTTAGCTAAATTTTTTTGACATTTAAAGAAATGAAATCTAAATAAGACAATGATTGATGAACTGCTAATGAACCGAATTCTAAACACTTAATGGATGAATGGAAATTAGCGACGTGATGCAAAGGACTTATGTATGAGACTCTCTTTTGTTTTTCATTTTTAACTTAGGTAAAGAATATGAATGATCAAACGAGATGAATGATATTGCAATGATAGGATGAATAGCAATACGATTTAAATGAAAAAATGCTTCTTAAATATTTTTTCTTAAAGATGTATTGAACAGCGAATGAAAATACAAACAAAGAATGTAAAAGATGAAATTAAAAGGTTGGATAGATGCAATCTGGGGCTGAAGGAACTTCAGCTCTGATACCAAAAATGATACAAGCACCGGCTTCACACTAGGCTTGTATAGTCTTTGGTTCAGGCTTAACTCGATATTTCCACGATTGACTCCAATGACCAAGATGCTCAAGCCGTTGGTGAGGATGGAGTGTTGTTGAAACACAGCTGAGAAACTCAAGCTATGAATCGATGAACGTTGGTGGTTGAATTGTTGAGTCTTTAACCGAGATACTCAAGTTTAAGGTTCGGTAAACATGTGATTAATACAGAAACAATGGAGCAAAGTGTACCACACGGGGAATGGTGACCCCGTGATACAACACAAGGACTCCTTCTCTAAGGAGCTGGTCTCACGGGAAAGAGGACTAGTTTTAACAAGAATGTTCTTGAAAAAAGTGTGTAATTTATGTATCAAAAGTTGAAGATACACTACTGTGAGAGGGGGCTTTATAAACTAGCCTAAACACCTTTCTAGGGGTCTTTGAAACAAATTACATTGAACTAAAATGCAAGAATTCAGGCTACCATTTACCTTAGCAACGAAGATTACAATAAATGTAAATAAAAATCAAAGACTAAACTTATGCTGCATTCATCAAAGAAATAACTTCATTAGTCAAACTGTAATTGGAATAAATTGGTAATACTCACCTTCTTTACTTGCTGGTCCACGATTTGGTTTTGAATGCGAGTAGTAACTCGTCTTTTGATTTTTATGACCTTGGCTTTGACTGAAATGAATCCTCTCTTTTAGTAACTCTCATCTTGGGCTTCTTGTGTGGCTGTGAATACATTGTAGAGGCCTTGACTTGAGATGAATGGCCAGCTCTCTTTGTTTGTTGAAGTTGGGCCGGTAAGCTGATCATGCATCTCTTCAAGTAGTCCAATATAAGCTTGTGTAGATGCTTTGAAGTCCTCATGATCCGCTTAAAGTATAGCGTGCATAATAGCTTGATCGTATTTATGCTGTAGCACTCTTGCTCTCTCTTTAGTCATGGCTCCAACCGGTACTTCTATGACTTGTGGCTCGTTAGGTCCGGTTCTATGTTAATATCTTCATCAATGTGTCCCGACTAGACTAGGTTTTACTTATGTAGAAGCAAGAGTATGCCAGATCTCATAGGAAGTGGTGGATCTAGACACAAACGACTGAATCTGAGTGGAGATGGCACCTAACAAGGCGTTGTAGATGAGTTTGTCTTACCGCTTCCAAAGGGTACATTCCGGATCGACCGAAACATCAGCGTCAAGGGTTATTGTTGGAGGCAGAGGCACAAGGAATCCATGTAGGTGTCCAGCGAAATTATAGCCATATACGAGGGCATGAATCTGGAGGCTCCACATGAGGTAATTTGTGGAGGTAAGCTTAGTGACATTAGATGTATTGATATTGAAAAATGTTGTTTGAGGTTGTGTTGGGATTGTGTCAGCAATTGCTGGTGGAATTGCCACGGCGGCAAAAGAGAATTTTTTTTAATATGAGAGTTGTAAGTTATCGAGACTCTAATATTATATAAAATATGAACTAGGTGATCGGCTTGCAGGCTATAAAATATTTGATATATTCAATTATGATTAGTATAATATTAAAAATAATTAATTATGTATTAATAATAAAATTATAAACATTTAATAATAAAAATGATAAATTAGATATAAAATATTATAGATTTCAAAAGAAAATGAAGATAAAAAAAATGTTAACTAAGATTTTAACATATTTTCTTAGATAAAAATATGTAAATATGATAACTAAATAAATGGAAAACATTAAAATCTATAATAAGTTATTCAAATTTTATTTTTGGCCCACACGCATGTGCATGTATAATTTTTTAGACATAATTAGTTGTAATATTTATTTAATTTAAATATTGATTAATTTTCTTATACATTATGTAAGCGTTATGTTTTTTTATACATATACAGTTTTAGTGGTCAACAACAATTACACAAACGTTTCCTTTCGTTTTGTATCTTTTGAAACATTTATTTTTTCTAGCGTTTACAGTAACATATAACTGCAAATATAAAAGTTATATTAAATAATAATTAAATTCTTATAATATATTTTGAATATTATCTATACTATATTTTTTTCTTTTTACATAATATAATTTTATATATATATATATATATATGTATATGAAGTATTTTTTTCCTTGACCTATTGCTAATTAAACCAAAATGAATTTTATCATATTTACTTATCCTAAGAGTGGGGAGATGGTTGATCCGCATATTCGTGCGTACTAACCACCTCACCGCTCTTAGGACATATAAAGATTTAAAAAAAAAATAGAAATTATCTAACAACTAAAACTAAAATTAGAGTGTAATCGAGGTTAACAAAATGTATGTACGATAAATTTGCATGCAAGTTGGACTTTTGCACAATTAATATTTATATCTACATGCATATCTGTAAAAAAGTCAAAGTATGGCTTTTATGTGCTAAAAGAAAATAACAAAGTATATGTTTTGTAAAATATATTTTTATAACGTATGGTTAATTGTTCAAAAAAAAATAATCAGTATATGTATGCATGTAGGTATGAGTTAGAAATAAGTGAATTATAATATTTAGGTGTTGGTAAGTTAATCTGATATTTTCCGCAAACGTTATGTTTTTACATGATGCAGTTATTGACGTTTAACAACAATCACGAAAATTGTTTATATCATTTTGTATTGAATCAAAAAATTTTATTTTTGAACGTTTTATGATATATGATTTCTCAATAAAAATATAATAAATATTTATTATAAAATTTGTGAAATCATATTTTATAAAATTCTCTAGTAACACTCTGCTCATCTCTTCATCAAATTTGTTTATAATTCGCAATCGCTGGCTTCCACAAATTCTCTGTAACTGAATCATTTAAACCAATCAGATCTAAACTTATATGTATATGATTTAAGGTGTAAAATAATATATTTAATATTTGATTGTTATATTAAAAATTAAGAGATGATCTGTTCCTAACTTTAATATATTTGTTAATATAAAATATAATGGATCACAACATATACAAAACTTGATTCATGAAATAATTTTTTAATATGTTGGAAAAATATATGTATGAAAAAATTAATAAGTGTAAGATAATATTTTTAAATATTTCAAATAAAAACATAAAATCGATCAAAATTATTCTTATTTATTTTTTTTGTCTTGTTTGACTTATATTTGTTTTTTCTTCACTTTTAATAATATATTTAACATTAAGATCATCTCAAATGTATTTTTCTATTTTTTTCTCTAAAATATAAGTGGAATTCTCTCCAACCTAATTCTATTTTACAGAAAAAGAAATATTATTATTTTTTTCTCTTTAATTGAAGGAAAAAGTAACAACTTTTTTCCTCCTAATTAGAACATTTAAAATAAATGTGAGTTGCTTTAAATCAAAAATATAACCTGAGAATTTTACATTAAACCAAAGTCGTAAAAATTTATTTTTACTTTACTTCTACATTTTATTCATATATACAGTATTATAATAAAAAAAATTTGGCTAAGAGGATATTTATAATTTATTTTTCTCTCTATTTATTTTTTTTTGTTCATTTATAATTTCAAATTCTTGCTATATAATAAGAATTTATTCACATATGATATAAAAATTTTTTGTTATTTAAAAATAATATTTATTTAGTTTTAACTTAACCAATCAAAATATTTCGTTTATTTTAGGAAATTTGTCATATCAAATTTATGAAGTGGCATTGTTTTGCACTAACTTTTCTTTAGGTGTTGACACACAGAATTGTGTTAATAAACATGATTCTCAAATAATATTTAGGATACCTTAATCATATTTAATGAGTAATGTACAATATATAGTGATACATGTTGAGATGACTAGGTAAATACTTAAGACTAATACACGCTTAAAGCCTTATGTACTAATAATATATATATATATATATATGTTATTCTCACTTTTAAAATATTAATCAATAAAAGTACTCTCTTCTCCTGGTCTTGATATTATTCCCGTCATCAATACAAAAAGTGATTCGATCACTAGACTTTCAATTACTTGAGAAAAATGTAAAATCGCTTAACTCGTGCTTTAATACTGGTTATTTTGTATGTTAGTGAGTATTTTCTACAATATAAATGAATTATGGAGTTAATAAATTGAGTTAATAATTTGATGAGTATAAAATTGAATAATACATTAAAAATTGAAGAAAGAATAAATACACAAAGACAAAATTGAGATGATATATACAAAAAAAAAACACAAAGACATAAATATGTTTGATTTAGATGATTACACATTATATGATTTTGCTTAAATATTTGTCGAGTAAGTTGTCAACAATAACTTGATAAGCTCTTTCAGTCGGATGGTAGGTGTCCCAAAATATATAGGCCGAAGAATTAGAACATGTGAATGGATTTAGTGAGTTACACATAAATGATACTGCGAGTAAACCGTTACCGCAACATCTTCTGTCAGCTACTTTAAAATCTGAAATTATAATAAAATAACTTAGTTATAAATTAATTCACGTTAATATAACAGAAATTAAAAAAAAAGTAAGAAAAATTTACCATATTTTTAGGATTTTGGATCATGTCGTAAAAAGTATCATAAACATTAATATAAAGGATAACACCATCCAATTCTTTATCTAAAGAATCTAGTGCTGGAGAAAGCCTTGAGTTGAATTGTTTTGCCATATTGTTTAAAGTTTTAACACATCCTCGTGTTAATATACCTCCGAACAATGTTCTTTGAAGTGGTACACATCCAATAGGTACTGCACTAAACACTCCAATTTTTTGAGCTCCAAGTTTATGTAATTCCTAAGTATTATATAGAAGACAATTTGTATCATATATCATTATATTATTGTTTAATGTTTATATATGAATGTAAAATACTTACTTTTACGAATTTTACTGCTGAGTCAGCCAAGAAATTGGCATACGAGGTGCGATCATATCTAAGTGATTGAGCTAAATAAGTGTGAGCAAGGTCATTGCTACTAGAAACAACGAGAAAAGAAACTATGGTCTAATATATTTTAAGCTTTTTCTTCTCCAAAATGTTGTTTGATCTTTGATATATATTGTTTGAAATATATTAGTTGATCCCACATAGATATCACTGACTACAAAAAAAAAGAGTATCAATTATATTATGAATCTAATGTTGATAATGAAAAATAAAGTATAACATACCATAATCTTAGCTGTTAATGGATCGTAACCAGTTCCTCCAGATGCAAATGTTAAACCTTTAAGAAGTTCTTCAGGTTTCAAATTCGGGTTCATATATGCTCGCAGTGTCTTACCTAATCCCAACTTTTCCACTATAATTTTTAATACAATTTTTAAAGAGAAAATGTATAAGAATACAAAAATTGCTATACTTTTTATATAAAAGCATGTAAAAACAATTTAAACACTTACCAATTAAATTAGAGGGAACTCTTCCATCAGAAAATCTTCCTGTAGCTAAACTGCCAGGGAAATCCTTGGCATAGGGAGGGAAATTGCACTTTAGAAAAGTAGGAATATAGTTTTTATTACCGGTATCCATTATTGAATCTCCAAACACAATTAGTGCTGGAATTGTCGCATTTTGTCCTTGTTTCATTGCATTTGTTTCGACAGCTATTAATATCAAAGCGAGCCATAACATTTGTAGCTTCATTGTCTTGTTTGTTTTACTTTTACTTTTGTGCTCGAGCTTTTTTTTTTGTGTTTTACAAATCTGAAGACATACATTCATTTATATGGTTTCAGTTTGTTGGAATATTTCTAAAAAAATATATATTTTGAACAATAGTTGTTACGCCCGAAGCTCTATATAATTAGTTATTACCTTGATGATGGTCTGTTTTAAAGACATCAAAATTTAATTGTTTCACAACTTGATTATACTATGTTTAGGATTTACACATATGAACATAAGTGTAACCACAAGACAAAATATATGGCTTACAAACTATATAGAAAAAATATTATGATCACTTTTAGAGACGGCAAAATTTTATTATTATTTTCACAACTTGATTATACTATGTTTAGGATACACATGAACATAAGTGTAAGCACAAGACAAAATATATGGTTTACAAACTACATACGAAAATATTATGATCACTTATAAATATTACTTTACGTTCCATTTCCCTTTTCCAGCACATAAAGAGGACCACTCTTTAATAATCTTTGTTAATTTGTGCACAGTTGATCTCTTCCTCTGTATTCGCACTTGAGTATAAAAACATCTTTGCCAATAGTATTTAGTGGCATAATAACAAAAGAAACAACAAAACGAACAAACCAGTAAAGCAACAAAGGTTTAAACTTGAAACGAAACCAGTGAGATATATTACAAATGCAGTAATATATTACAAGATGTTTTGTGGGGGTGGGTGGGGGGGGGGGGGGGGGGGGGGGGGGGGGGGGGGGGGGGGGTTAAATACTTAATATACAAGGAAGCCAAAGCAGCCAACACATTTACCATTAGAGTCAAATAAAGAAAGACGGGAAAACCTAAAACCATTTAAAGAGAGTCCAAAGAATTTTCACTACCCTTGTGAACCTAATTGCATTAACCCATTCTGCAACTGTCATCTATATGTACCATTAGGCAATGGCTTCCTCATGTTATCTCCTCCAACCTCAAGCTTCAAATCTTCTAAACGAGGTATTATCGCATCACCAGCTAAAGGCCATGGCACAGCACTGAACCCACCAATGCTCATACCAGAAAGATCAAACCCGTTCATGTATGGAGGAGGAGCGCAGTAAAATCCGGCGGTTGGTATGATCGGATTGTTCCATGGAACGTTAGGTCCTTGAGCTGTGAAAGGGTAACTATAAGGATAGTTAAAGCCTTGATGATAACCAAAGACGGGATGATACTGAACAAGCATCCCATACCCGTTTCTCTCAGGGACATACGGATATGTAGGAAGATTGTTACGATGATTCCTGTTATTGCTCTGTATTCCTTCTTTAGGAATCGCGCGTTTCACCTCAACGCGCTTATTACTCAACTCATGGAAAGGACTCTCCATCACCATCTCAACAGAGTTCTCTGAATCAAACGTGACAAAACCGAACCCTCTTGGCCTGTTTGTCACGCTATCGTGCATCACAACCACATCCGTTGTCCGGCCAAACTTCTCAAAGTAAGTCTTGAACTCTTCTTCTGTCGTCTCGGAGGATAATCCCCCAACAAACAGCTTCTTGGTCCTATGGTTGCTGATGTTACCACCATTGTTGTTCTGTTGCGCTTTACTATCGTATAGTTGCAGGTACGGTTGCTGATATCGAAGCTGTTCATGCTTCGGAATCGCCTTTTTCACATCGACCTGATATACATATATGAGATACTGATCAAATCTACAAAGCAGAATCAACAAAAAGTAACACTTTTTATTCTCTCGTAAATCAAGAAACCAGAGACAACCCAGTTTAACATGGCAAGAAACCTACAAAAACCGAATTGAGACCAAAGCTGGTCCCAAGACATGACACATAAAAGTAGAGTTTCAAATAAAGGCGAAAAAGTGTTGACTTACGGAACGACCGAGGATGATATGAGAGTCTCTGAGAGCTTTATCAACATCATAAGCATTAGCAAAGCGAACAAAGCCAAACCCTCTGGGGCATCCAGAGGCTTTCTCCTTAGCAACAACAGCTCCCAAAACAGCTCCGTATTTACTGAAATGCTGTTTCAGAGACTCTTCACTAGCGCCTCTTGGTATGCCTCCAACGAATAGCTTGTGCTGGTCACAATCCATTTCCACAAAACCCTAATCTGCAGCCTTATCACAAATTCAAACTTTAAATTAATTTTTTTAAGCAATTATCTCAAATCAACTAAGATTCTCGCCTTAATTTCGCAGTTTAAAGTCGAAATATCAGAGCTGTGAGATCAAAAGTACCTCTCAACTGTTTAAAAACCAAAACCCCTAAAATCAAACAGTGATTTGTACGGAAACCCTAATTCGTGAATTTTTTTAAACAGGGATGCTAAACTAAGCATGAATCACGGAGAGAAGAAAAGAAGCAAGGAACAAGAAATCGAGAAAGCGTTAATTTTTCTTTTTCGGAAGAAAACTGTAGAAAAAAAAACATCAAATTTCATGGCGAAGAGGAAAGTTTACCAGGTAGGAGAGAGAGAACAGTAGTTTGATTTGACACCGCACGAGAAGTCGAAGCGAGTTAAAAGTTAAAAACTATTTAGCTTGAGTTAAACTTTTATTTTATTTTTGTTTTCAATTTTATGGCCATATTGATGATCGAAACTAATGGGCTTATAAAGCCTTTATTGAAAAGGCTATTGGCCCAAATAAAACTGTATTGGGTTTTTTGATTCAGTTACAAAAACAAACCTACGAACTCGATAACTACTATACGGGTTTATTTGGCAAAAGAACCTGTATATGCTTTTAATCTATACTATTAAAAGAGGATCACTTCAATGTTTAAAAATAAATCATGTGTTATATTACATGAAATGCTATTGCATTTTAACCTTTTTCTTAGAATTTCATTAATGGTAATTGAATCATTTGTTAATACAACTAATTAATATTCATTTTATTTTTTCTTTATTTAATTCTTATATTCCTATTACCAAACACATTAATTTTCAAATACTATTTGGATTAGTTTAACTCTAATTACCAAACACATTTAAATAATTTAAATATTTCCATAAATAATTATTTCAAAAATTCTAATTAATTTTAGAATTAATTACATCCAAGTTTATATAAAACAAAATTATAATTATAATTACTATATATGTATAAGATTAAATTATAAACAATTATAATTTAAAACATTTAGCGTAAAAATAACAAATAATAATTTTTAAATATTTATTATTATGTAACAATATAAGAAAATAAAAATCATAATTAATATAATTAAATTATATACATTTACACAATATAAAAGAAAATTCGCAAAAAAATATTTGAAAAAAATCATATTTTTATTATTATGTAATAATATAACCAAACACATATGTTTATAGGAAAATAAACTAAAACCTAATTTTTTATGAATAATTATATATTATTTGTTATATGTTTAGTGCAATCTAATATTAAATTAAATTTTGATTAAATTAATTTCAAATTTAAAAGCATCATGATCAAAATTAAAAAAACTATGATTCATTAAAAGTAAATTATAATAACCATATAATTTTATTCAAATTATATTTAGTTCTATAAAATATCTAATGAATCGATTTTGTAATATTTTATTAAAATTCGATTACTAAAATTATGGAGCAAGCTTCCCAAATAAAAATCAAAATATTTTTTAATTAAGAAACAGTAACTGCATAAATTTAAAGCATATTCTAAAAAATATAGATTTTAGCATATTTTCAAAAATATTTCAAACAATATTGATAAATTTTTTTTATTGTAGATGTAATAACATATTAATAATAGGAAAAGTCAGTAAATTAATAAAAGATTTTCATAATTCACAATTAACATAATAAAACTATTTATGATAATAGTATTTCAATAAACTATAAGAGAAATAAAAACAGTAACTCACATTATCTCATTTTCTCTAATTTATTTTGGCTAATTTTTTTCCCCTATTTAGATTTTCAAAAAAAAAAATCTTTGCAAACGTCAATATTTTTTAGTTGAAATTAATTTTTTATATGTTAAATATTTTGTTTCAGTTTTTTTACTATGTATATGGTTGTTATTTTTAATATTTTTAGTTTTAAATTTATCATATTTTCTTTGACAAAGAAGAAAAAGAACAAATAAGAAGGAGAAGAAGAAGGAGGAGAATAAAGAGAAGGGATGGATGAGAAAAAGAGTAGATGAAAAAGAATAACAACAGAGAAGAAGAAAGAGAAAAAAAATAGAAGAACATGAGAAGAAGGAGAATAAGTGATAAAGAAGAAGAAGGAAAAAAAAGAATAATAAGAAGGGATGGAAAAGAAGAAAAACGAATGAGAAGAAGGAGAAGTGATGACGAATAAGACCAATAGAGAAGATGAAAAAAACGGAAAAGGAGAACGGAGAAGAAAGAAAATGGATGAAGAAGAAGAAGGCATAAAAGAGGAAGAGAAGAAGAGGAAGGGTAATAAGGAGAAGAATGGATGAAGAAGAATATGGATACATAGAAGAAGAAGAAGAAGAAGAAGAAGAAGGGAGAGGAAGAACAACGAAGGAGAAGGAGAAGAATGAGAAGAAAGAATGAAAAAGAAGAAGAAGAAGGGATGGAGGAGAAGACGAAGGAGTAACCAAGAGTCGTTAACTTGACTGGTAAAGGATCTAGGCAAAGCTTAGAGATCACATGATCGAGTGACGCTTATGATTAAACTAATACTGCATGATGTGGTTTCGGGCCTGCAGAGATTGCAGGCTTCTGCCCAGACCTTCATGGTAATCCAAAAAAGGAAGAAGGAGAAAAACAGAGAAAAAGAAAAACAAAGGATAAAAAAGAGAAGGAGGAACAAAAATAAATAAAGGGAGAGAAGAAGAAAAGATGAAGAAGAAGCAGGAGAAACAGAAAGAGAAGAAAAGAAAAAAAGAAAAAAAAACATAAAAAAAGAAATATATAATAAAAAAAAAACATAAAAAAAAGAAACATATAATAGAAATGAAGAAGAAAGAAATAGGAAGGGAGAAGGAGAAGGAAAAAAAAAAGTAAATACAATATTAAGATACATAAATTTCATATAAAACAAATAACATATTATCATATTTTACAATAACAACTCGCGTGTCTACAATATTGAATTAGTTGCACGTAATTTATATTATCTTATTTTTAATTTTATATTTTTTTATTTACAAAATTTAATTTAATCCTCATAACACATAAATAAATAATATATTATTAATATAACTATAGTTTTTTTTTAGGAGGGGGTGGGGGAGACATTGTCTCCTGATTTTATTCAAAACATAAAAACCAGCTACACACAAACTCTTCTTGAGCGCGCAGAACCGATCATATCGTAACTGAAAATTGAAACTAAAGTAGGTGGAACCGAATCTAAAAACTGGATACCTAGAGGAAGGAAAAAAGCAGAGTTAGCTAATCCATCAGCAAGACAATTAGCTTTTCTGTTAGCAAAAAAAAAGACAATTAGCTTTTCTATACACATATGAAAAACGGATTATCCATTCTCTCGAAATAAAGCCATGATACATATGTACCAGAAAACAGATTATCTTATAATATACTATATAATAAATCTTCTTATACTACATAATTTAAATATTTATAAAATTTATTTCAAGAATCATATACCTGCGCGTCCAACATCTAGTTTTGTTTTAAAAAATACACTTTTTATTTTTGAAAATTAACTGCTTGTGTTGTGTATGTGATTTGTGTCCTGATTTGAATTCAAAATTACAAACTTAGTAAATCAAAAATAAGAACATAAATAATATTTTATTATTTTTGTTTAAGATAAAGATGTGTTATTACTTAAAAAAAATAAAATTTACCATTAGATAAGTCTCAATCTTATATTCCTTACATAAACGTTACATAACAGCTCTCCAACAAAATGATTAAATCAGATAACCAACGATTTTTTTCGAAAACCTAAGATGTTTAGAAGGTATGTTTGTTTGAGATAAAGATGTGTTGTTATTTAAATTTTTTAAATTTTATTATCCGATAAATCTTTTGAATTATTTTAAATTTTAATTTTCCAATTCTCACACTTACATCTTAGATAAACATAACAAGCCTCCATATTTTCTTTAAAAAATATTGATTTTAACTGATTAACCATTAAAAAATTATCTTTCTTTTAAGAGCTATTTTAGCTTATAATTGATTAATTTTTAAAGTTATTTGTTCTACATATTAAAAAATTTAACGAAAAAATACCATTCACTTTTCCAGCATATTTTATATTCATAAAAAATTATATTTTAAACAGAAATTATTTTTTATAAAATATAATATTTAAAAGTAACAGTCACAAATTCTACAGTTTTTGTTACCAATCATATTTTTTAAAAACACAGCTTTAGGTTCCGATTGGTGAGAATTGTGACCGAAGGCTGTAACTGTGGTTTTTGGCTATAAAGCTTTTGACTTTTACAACTGTGACTGTTACTTTAAATATTTTCTCAATTCTAATTGATAACAAAAACTGTAGAAGCTGTGACTGTGACTGTTGGATTTTGTTTTGGGTTAATTTGCAATCTAACAATATTGGTGAAAAAATACAAAAATATAGCTATGCTATTCAAAAAATATGAAAAGTAACTATGGCCCACAGAGAAAAATCTAAAAAAATCTTTCTGTTTTAAATGGAAATATATTGATTGCTCGATCATTATGCTAAAAAAGTAAATAATATAGTATTTGGAGTTCTAAATATACAATCAGGTTAAAAAAAAATAATATAGTATTTAGGATTCCAATTATAGAATCAGGCTATACTTTAATATATATTCTCATACGACAAAATTAATATAGTATAGTATAGATACCAATTCATTTTTTGGATATCTACAGGGTGTGGAATCTGCATTGGAAGATGTCCCTTATGAGGGTGAATTCACGAGACGATGACAATAGAGATGAGAGGCTAGCAGATATCCATACGGTGTGGAGTTAGTTCTCAGAGTGATAATATAGTACGATATAAAAGTAATATATTTGTAGAACTATTAATAACACATTACACCAACTGAGTATAGTATAGTAGTATAATCTATTAAATGAAGCGTATTTTTGTATATATTGTAGAAGATATAAACAATATAATAGCACCCAATTTGGTATGGTTACTTTATGAATTTCAGTCATTTATATGGTTATATCAGCTAATTTCCCTTTTGTTTTTCCAAAAATAAAATAAAAATTGATTCTGGTAATATATTTATAGAGATGAAATAAATTATAATAGTAAATTTTAAATATATTTTTCATATATATTTAAATTTTTAGGATTAAAATTATTTTATAAAAGAAAAAATATTTTATTATTAACATAGAGAATTAATAGAAACTATAGCAATAATATATTTAAACCATTAATTCTTTAGTCACATAAATTATCAATTATATTAATAGTAATAATATATTTGCTTTTTCAAAACATTTAAAATTCAATAGATTTTGAA